ATTCTGAACAATAAATTACTGCATGAAATTTTTTATCGTCGTACTTCAGAAAAGGTCTAAGTAGTTTTAAAAATTAAGTAGAGTTGTCGAAATTCTGTTTCGAAATTCCTATTGTCGATTTTCCAGAGAACCATGAATGGAACTAAATATAACAGAGAACTTTTTTTCAGTATCGCAAATCAAATATCTAGTGCACAGATCATGACTTCGTATATTGAATGAAGAAATATTGTTAAAATTAAATTCTTATTGAATTTTTATGTAGTGATGTTTCATCAACAATGTCGACTTTATCAGACTATTTTCGAACTAAACATATATTTTCTCTATTCTGTTGATAGTGAAACGAACAAAATCGTGACAACAAATAGAGTTCTCTTTTTTGAATTTCTTTTCGTTTTTTTTTTTCACTATCAATAGAATAAAGAAATATGTCCGTATTTTTTTTTATCTAATAAAGTTTACATTGGTAATAAGACATCACTAAACAAAAATTGAATAATAGGAGGAGAAAAATTTCATAAAACTTAATTTTAACATATTTGTACATCTTTCATTATAAATATAAATAAACAGCAAAATCTACTGCTTAACTCTTGATAGAAAACAAAACGACCGGAATCAGCTCAAAAAATATTATTCCTGGTCCTGTTGGATAGAACGCATTGGATTCAAAAATTTCTGGACCTGGACCCAACCGACGAAAAATTTTTAAATCTGGATTCTATTGATTAATCTTTTATAGGTTTCAACTCGCATCCTACTCTTAATAGAATTTTCTGATTCGAATTTGATAGTCATACCGAAGGCACGGTTGGAATTCAGACAAAAACTCATCAAATCCAGGCATTTCCGGACTCAATAAATTTCACCTCTGCAACCACTGTGTAGATTTCTATAAATAAGTTGCAGTATAATTCTGGCTAAAATCAAAGAATCGTAGTTCGTCGAATTTGCCGTTTAAAACGCAGTAGAACGTAATAGAAGAATGTTTTCGAGCTATACGGTAAAGTTCCTCTAGAATGAATATATTAAATATATTATTTAATTTACCATATTTCAGTAAAAGTGAATACAACTTACCAAATTTTTCAGCTTAGGTAATCGATCTCAATCTGAGGATGGTTTTTGCTCATCAACTCTTTCTCTTAATACTGTTACTGAAAATACAACATCATCATCATCATTATTATTATGACTCATTCTTATTTATCATCATATATAACACTTACATTAAGTTCAATAAACTAACTTCAAAAAAGTACAATAACAATAATATCAATAACATCACTACCAATACTTATTCTCGCTCTATCCTGTTCGACTTTATCATTATCTATAATCCTCAAACATGTCATGTTCTATTAAATAATCATTGTAAAAACATAATTATATCACGTTCAATTCGTAATCTTATTCATCCAATTACAATAATCTAACAATCGAAAACAACAACATTACGTCAAATGAAAATCTCTTGTGTGTCTCGATGTCTATCTAATTTACTAATAACTAATAATGAATTATTAACATCATCAAATACTTTATCATTAATAGAAAATAATCAGAACAAAAGAGAATGATGAAACAAAACATAATCTTCTTTATCGTTACGCCAATTAGATAATACAACAAATGATTTTATACTCAAATCGACACAAGATTGTTTTTATTGAACAGTTAAACTTGGTTTAAAACCTTTACTTTTACAAGATATATGAGTATTATGACCAAATAAACTTATTAAATATTCATCAAGTGCATGTTCAATTGAAAGTGTTAGATTCATTAGAAATAACAAATAAATTACAAACATGTACATTAAACGATGATAATATTAATTATAAAGAAATTCAAGTTCGATAAAGTATATCAATACCAGATTGTAAACAAATAAAACAAAACATCAAATTTTATTATCTTTATAGATAGACAATTATTTGTTTTATAAATTTATCTAATACAGTGTTAGCCAAATTAAGATTAATAAGACTGATCATAATTTTTATCGACTCGAAGACAATATCTTCTATGAAATCATATCATGTTCTTTCATCTATTTTTCTTTTAGAATTCTATCTAAAAGTCAATACAGTTTCCATTTATATCTTGTATTGTTCCACTATAAAAATAATATATTTCAATCATATTTACATATGTATATATTCAATCGAACATTGTCGATTGGTCTAATATGGATATAGCTAATTGAGAAATCTTTCTTGCTCTTGATAAAAGTCAAAACAACAAGTCATTGAGTGATTTTATTTGGATCTATGCTAGATCATGTATTATAAGATTTATATCTCTCATTTATATGTGTACATCGAATATCAATTGTTGTTTATTGTTAATTCATGTCGACGATTAGAAAATGTTTATTGTAATATGTTAGAGAGAATGTGAAAGAAAAGAAAATTAACACTTAAATTTCGATAAGCTGACGAGAATAAATCGATTCAATTATTTTTTTGAAAAAAACAAAATTTTTCGATGGATGGCACTCGAAATATAGCTAATTACATATATTTTTCAGACATAATTCTGTTTTATTCAAAATCAATTTTGGATTCACATGTAAAAAAAGCAGAAAATTTATAAAATTTCTTCAATCAGAGTGCTATGTTGGTATTGGTCGATTTGTGTATATAATCACCAGATTCTATACCTTCAGTCCGAATTAGAGTTTTACAAGATTATTTTTTCCATCTTCTTTTTCTACACACGAAGCTTTTCTTCGATCCGACCATACTGTATTCTTTGTTTATTTTAATAGGTGTTTTCATGTGCAATGAACACGGCACCATTGTTTCACAGTTTAATCCTGTTGGGATTAAACTGACAGCTTTTGTGAAACACGATTGAAAACAAGAGTTGAAGTGAATATAAAGTATGTCCCAAAAGCCCCTTCCTAAAAGTTTTTTTTAAATATCTTTGCTATTTTATTTAACTTTATCAACTTCTTTTTTAGATAACAAGTGGAGACACCGAGATTTTTTCAACCGAATGAGTTTCAAAAATATTGCTCAAAGGTACCACCTTTCATCGAAATACAAAACATTAATCTTTTCTCTATTTCCAAAAAAATATTGTGTAAAATTTCTTTTTTAATCGCTTCGATTTCTTCAATTATTTTAATCTTTAAATCGTTCAGATCTTTAATTTTTGTTTTATAAACATTTGTTTTGATGTGTCCCCATAGAAAAAAATCTAATGGTGTTAAGTCAGGAGACCGTGGTGCCCATGAGATGGGGCGACCTCTCCCAATCTATCGATCATCGAATTTGTGGTTGAACTAAGACCGAATTGCTTTCGAGAAATAAGCTGTCGCTCCATCTCGTTGGAAAAACACCGTTTTCCTAAACCTTTTATTCTGTAAGATTGGATAAAAGAAGCTTTGGAGCATATCCAGGTAATTATTTTCGTCGATTGTTGGTTCACCAAAAAAAAACGAATCAACAATTGTCTTGCTTGATATGGCACATCATACAATAAGTTTTGGTGAGTTCATCGCAACTTCTACAGTAGCATAAGGATTTTCTGGAGCCTAAATACGACAATTGTGTTTATGAACCAGCCCTGAAACATGAAATGTTGCCTCATCTGAGAAAAAGATCATACCATCATTGTTGGTATTATCCAAAATCGGGAAAAGAATCTCGGCCATCTCAACGTGTAAATCTTTGTCTTCATCGTACAACACTTGTGTTAAATGCATTTTATATGGTTTATATACTAAAACATCACGCATTGCACGATGAATCACCGACTTTGACATATTAACTTCTTGAGAAACACTGCGAACACTATTCATTGAGTTGTTTAACAGAACTTCTTCAATTTCATCTAGTTTTTCGGATGTTATTAAAGATGGTCTTCACGATCGTTCACGGTCATGTACCGATCCGATTTCAACAAATTTATCATAAATAGCCTTGGTGGTCTTCTCTATACGAATATTTTGCATATTCTCATATTGAAAATGTTGTCTCACTAATGATGGAGATTGTAATCTAGTCATCATGACGACAATTTGAATTCGTAAGTATAAACCAACCGGCATTTGATTTTATATGAATACACATGTGCTAGCTTGGTCTCTCACTATTCAAAAAATAGATACTACTCTCCACACTGACCAGTTTCAATAGAGGGCGTTGTTAATTAAACACATAGAATAAACATTTTGTTTCTTGAAAGCAATTTGCTCTTGATTGAACGACAAATTCGATGGTCGATAAATTTGGAGAGGTCGCCCCATCTCATGGGCACCACGGTCTCCTGACTTAACACCATTAGATTTTTTTCTATGGAGACACATCAAAACAAATGTTTATAAAACAAAAATTAAAGATATGAACGATTTAAAGATTAAAATAATTGAAGAAATCGAAGCGATTAAAAAAGAAATTTTACAAAATATTTTTTTGGAAATAGAGAAAAAATTAATGTTTTGTATTTCGATGAAAGGTGGTACCTTTGAGCAATATTTTTGAAACTCATTCGGTTGAAAAAAATCTCGGTGTCTCCACCTATTATCTAAAAAAAAGAAGTTGATAAAGTTAAATAAAATAGCAAAGATATTCAAAAAACTTTTAGGAAGGAACTTTTGGGACACACTGTAGAATTGAGTTTACTAATCCATATAGATTCTTTCGCCATAAGATGATCATCATTTAAGTATCCTCCTTCAAATGATTCTTCTTCCTTTATACTCAGGGTGAGTAAAGATATCTGTTTTCTATTTTCCTTCTTTTCATCTTTACCAGTTCTCTTTTGTGAATTAAGCAATAGTTTTATTTTCTCAAGTTTATGCATCTTTAGAGTTTTTGACAAAATGTTAAAAACACAGTCTCCAAAAATAAGAAATAAACAAACAAATCAATAGTTTCTGATTTAAAAAAACCGTTGTAAAAGCATTGAAAACTAGTGAAGCATCGGAGTTATTATGATGATTTTTGTTCCTTTATACTCAGGATGAGTAATTTGAAAACATACAATTAATCTATTAAATTCTTCAATACTCTCAATGATTTTATTTGAGTATCAGTTGTAATATTTCCAAGAACATTATTTAAGGATGTCATTAATGTAATGCCATTACCAGTTTCTTTGGTACATTGAAGCTTTACTACAATATATCTTCCGTTATCTCCTTCGTGGTAAATATCAATGTCATAGCCAATGAAAATACCATGGATTACTTCTTTCAACAGACCATCGTTAAAATAATGACTAACAAAATGTTTGTCTGTTGTATAGACACATTGTGCATATAAGCGTTTACTTTGGTCTACATTATTATGAATTTGATTAATAATATTATCACTCAAATTAGTGATATCGAATGTAATGGTTTCACCATGTTCTAGGATTAAGTTGTCTTCGTCATTATTCAAATAGACGGGATAAACATTAAACTTTGTACCAATTATATTTGCATTCTTTTGATATAGATGTAAGGCATTCTTCAAATATCCTAAATTGTAAACGCCAATAATTCCCAAACGTACTTTTGTTTCCTTTACTATTTCTGTTTTAATTTCATCTATTTTACCCAAAAAATAAATGACTTCATTACCTATTTTATCAACCCAACCATGATTGACTAAATTAGCTTTAGCTTGATCGAACAATGTGTCCGAAATATCATTGACGACTACTCTAGAGGGTAATACACGACCTTGCTTTTCAATATGATCTAAAATTGATATTGGCTCTCTTAATCCATCAGCAACTCCCATGGAGATTACATCTTTGATTTGTTCATCTTGATTTGAATCAACACATTTATATACTTGTGACAGTTCAAAATCAGCTTCCGTATATGTCATTGCATTGCCTGAATAGTCCAAGATAGTATTCCAAAATTCTTTAGTATCTTCCATATTACAATGCTATAGTAATTATTATTTTTGTTTGTTTGATTTTTCTAAAAATTTTAAAGAATTTCGAATACATATATAAACTATGAAGAAAACAATTAATTAGAATCTTGAAAAAGTCTTTTAAATAAACCTTATTTTCTTGTTCCTCAATAATTTAGAAGCCAATTTATACAAATAGAAAATCGATTAAAAAGCCATCGAAACTACAAAAAATCTTTATAAATGATGAAAACTCCTTGAAACCCTCAAAACCAAAGGGGATCCTAAAAATCCATTGAGACTTGAAAGGCCGACCTCATTATCGTATTGGTATTGTGGCATGTCTAAAGGGTACCCTTCACAAGCTCTTATACCCTATTTGGTGTGTGGGTGTGGGTGTAGGTTAAGAGAAGAACTAAACCGATACCCACACCCTCACCCAAAGAGCTTGCTCTCGATCAAAATCTACTTCGAATCTTTTTTTTGCTATATGAAGTTAGAGATCACAAGTACCTACTTGTGGAATAATATTGAAATACGCGAAGTTCGTTTTGCACAATTTCTAGTTAATATTTTACTGCATTTATACTGATGAAGATTACTACGGTCTTTCCCAGCATACAATCCTATTAGTATATTTTTATCAAGTAGGTATTTTCTTTTGTTTAAAGTCAAATCCCATGAATCATACTTCATAGTCTTACTTCCTACGCGTCATACGTTGCTTCTGTGAAAAAAGTTTACATTTATATTTAGACACGATGGAAAATTAGATTTCAATACTTTAATTTGCCTACGAATCAACAACATGGGGTGCTTTCATAATGGTGTGAGTGTGGGTGTGGGTGCAGGTGTACGTATCGGTGTGGGTGTAGGCGACGGTGTGGATGTGGCTTAGCTGAAGAACTACTCCCATACCCACACCGACGCGTACACCTGCACCCATACCCACACCACACACCTACACCCACACCCACACACCCACACCCACACACCCACACCGACGCGTACACCTGCACACACACCTGCACACACACCCGCACCCCACACCCACACACCCACACCCACACCACACACCTACACCCACCCCACTCACACCCACCCACACCCACATCCTCATTGTTATGATTTCTTGTTTCATTTTTCTCCCTTCATTTTCTTCTTAAAGAGGAAAGAAGAGTTTCTTCTTTGTTCTCTTTTATTTGTTCCTTTTTCATCCTGGTGATTAATTTATTTCTTTTCTGTTCTTTGTTATTTTTTCCTCTCGATGATTAATTCGTTTTTTCCTTTTATTAAATTATTTACTCCAGATGATTTTATTGCTCTTCATTGCCAAGCACTTCATAATTTTGATTGAGATTCGAACCACTAAGAACAAAACAATTCTGTAAATTATCATAATGATTTTCACTTGTTGAAACAACTTCATACATTTGATCAACTGCTTGAAGAAGTTTATAAGTTACTTCATTATGTAAATAAAGAACATTCTAAATGAAATAATAGAAAATAAAAAAAAGAATGAATTGATTTACATATTTTTCTCCAAACGATTTGTTGAGTGAGATTCTGTTCACTCAAAAGAAATTGAATAATAAGTTGATCACGTTTATTTGAATCAAATTCATCATTTAATTTATTTGTTATGGAACTAAGTGTCTAAATAACATTGTGAGAGGATAAGATTGAATAATTTATTAAACATACTTGATGTCCATGTGGAGTTAAGGTTGATGATTGTTCGTGAATAGTTTTTAAAAGAGAATCAATTAGAGAATTGTTACTCTATCCATGTCGATCAAGTATGGAAGATGAATCAATACTAGAAATTAGAATGCTAGATTTAAAAAAAAATGAATGAATGAATGAATGAATATGCAGTGTGGTCGTATTGCTTCATAGATCTGAGCCGTAATATTCATCGATCTAATATAAAAATCATTATTTTATTTAAATATATAGTTCAGTCAAAAGGTTCTCGGACTTACCAATATTTATTCATAAAAAAATTTTTGCTAAGTTGTTCATAATAAATGTTCGCAGTAGTCCCGATGGCGTTTGATAGGAAGTTTCATCCATTCAATTCATTTTTGAGATGTGTTTTGGTATTCTTGAACAGGTTTCGAATTGATCTCCGTGGTTACAACTTGTAGCATCTGGACATGTATCAATGTTACGTTTCAGACAACTGAACTATCAAAAGTGTGAAGGAATAAGACCAGGTGAGTATGATGGATGAACGATAACTTGAGATCTTCATTCTTGAACGTAATTAAGATTAAAATAAATATCCTGCATATGCGTTTTTGAATTAACAAGATCCAAATTCAATGGAATGTCTTTCGATGTTGATATTTTCTTGTGAAAATTTTTGACTAATCTTCTTTAACACTGATCACAATAATACATGTAATAGAGTATCTCTAATGGGGGGCAATATATCACTGTTAATATGTGGATCATCATTCATCGCATCTTTGGCAGCATCATTACTTTGTTGAATAGTAGCAATTATTGGATTATCACTTCGAGTATCGTCTTTCAACGACTTTCACATAACAACTAGATCCGGGTCGACACTTTTTTTAATACTCAAGCCCGAATTGGATCCAGCTATCTGTACACGACACCCGACCAAACTCGAAATGGAGCTAGTCGACATCCGGCAAATACTTTCACAGTTGTAGTATGATTTTCAAAGTTTTATTTTATATGAAAAAGCGTACTATTTAGTTTCTTCTATAAACAACAATAACAAAAAATCAAAAGAAATCATCTCAAGCTCCACAAAAAACCAAGTGAATCAAGTGATTCAGAAAACAATATGGGTTTCCATTGCTGTGATCTGTTCTCAAGTACAATAAATTGCTCAATCATAATCGAACCGATTTTCATTTCTATGTTTTTTATACAAATTAATAGTTTGAAAAAGAAAAAGCATTTTGAAACATCGAGAGCTCATTGATTGCCGATCATATCCAAATGGGATCAGACCCATGACTCCCACCGGTCCGGTAAGTTTGCACCTGGATCCATGCTGCACGCTAGGTGCCGAGTATCCGATCTGATTGCAGGATACTAGTGCAAATCGGTAATTGCTGTAAGTTAAAGGAAAGTACAATATATACATTTATATTCAACTGTAAGAACATCACCTTGCTGTTTTCAATTGAAACATTAGCAATTAAGTAACATGATACATAAAATATTTTTCTTTTCTCAAATTAGGTTATTATAACGTATTCAGTTGAGATAATCTTCATAATTAACAATTTGATATATACATTGAAAAGAAGAAAAAAATTTCTTTTTTCTTTTTTAACTTTTAAATTAAGTTCAATTAGAAAATCATATGTATAGCCAGCTATGTAAAATGTATAATCTTTCAAAATATACAATCTGAGATAACAAAAATAAACATTAAAAAAAATCACAGAAAACAAAAATATCATATCATTTCACAGAATACAATTATCACTTTTGTCATTTCATTATGTTTATTGATTTTTATCTTGAATAAGTTGATCATAATATCTTTTAGTGATTGAATATTTTTCAGTTGCATCAAGTAATTTTTGTTTACCTTTAGTTTGAATATGAAGATTTTCTTGTAAACATTCACTATATAATTTTTTCCATCGTTGATTTTCTTCAATAAGTCGTTCCTGTTCTTGTTTATAATCAAGTGTTAAACGTTGTAAACGAATACGTTGTTTAGCTATTTTTTCCCATTCAGCTTTGAGTGAAGAAACAAGTTGTTCATGTTCATCTTCTAAACGATTATTCATATCAGAATATGTTAATCGAAGTTGAGCAACTTGTTCATCAATATTTACAGTTGGTGTTGGTGAAATTGTATTATAAGATTGAATATCAATATCAGCAGTTGTTAATGTTGGAGAAAGTTTAAGAGATACAGAACGTGATCTAAATAATTAATTGATAATACATAAAAGAATAACTATAGTCCTTTGCTCTCAAATTCAGATTGATTTTTTTCTCAAATTGTGATGTTTTTTGCTCTTTTGGATTTTTTTTTTTCGTGCAATGAAAGATATTTATTATGTATTATGTCTATGGTTATATAGAGATCAAGATTCGCTACAATTAATCCTATTTTGAAAGGCAACAGTTATTAACAAATAGAAGTAATGACTCATTTTATACATACGTCACACTTGTCTTATCTTGATTATTTTATATCATTATCATATATTTCTTATATTTGCTTTGTTCGAATATTTACTTATGCGCAGTAGCTATCGTTTGCTAATAGCGCTTGAATTATTTATTCCTATCTGGATAGCTCCAAACGAAATGATTATTGACTTATAAACTGAATGTTCACTAACGATGATGCTGAGGATGACGACTGTCAGTTGAGATGGTCAGAAAAAGAAGCATATCTATTTATAGATGCTAGGACAATTTATTAATTATGATCCTTTATCAAAGGAACCTATACATCATATTAATAATGCCATGAATAACTTTCATTAAACATAAATATCGGGAATAATTAGTGATGAGCGGGACCAATAACTTTTGATCCCGGTTAGAAAAATTTTTGATTCTGATTTCGCTCTTAGTAATATATGTATTAGTGGAAAATGTGATACCATTTTCTAGTAATATCAATGAGATTGAGACATCTTGCATGATCTCTGATATCCTCCATCTTGAATATTCATTACTTTTTCCAATTCATTAATACTTCTTCTATTCTGCAGGGTTATGCGTTCGACAATTATGTTGTTTACAGAAAAAATGATTAATTTCACTATCAAAATTGCAACAAGAAATATTGAAGTGATCTTTACTGAATAATTTTTGTATAAGCTTTTAGAACACGTGAATCGTAAGAATATGACATTTGACACAAGTTTTACACGACCACGAAGATGCCATTCCCAATGAAAGAATATTGGTCCTGGTTTCAATCTTGTCGGGACTTGGATCATCTTGCCTATATCTAGGAATAATGCTCCTGGACTTAGTTGTTAAAGTACTTGATAGATATTAAAGATGTTACTTTTTTGTATAAATTTCTTGTATATAAATCTGAAAAGTCTATGTCACACATTTTTTCTTTCAACTTTTGCATAAATTCAATGTCAATGATCTATTAGTAATATTATATAGTCTATAGTATCCTCTAGCAAACATCCAAGTATGGTAGTAAAATAATCAAAATCCATTTCAAAAAACTATTTCACAACCTGAATTTAAGACTAAAGGACTATAAAACATATAAAATTTACTTTTGTCGAAATTGAGCACGACGTCGAGCTTGTTGTTCATCACGACATTTTTCTATTTCAATCATTTGACCATTGATAAAATGAGGTCGTGACAAACAACATACATCAACTGGATCATAATCATCAAATTCAACTAAAACGGTTCGATCTTCAAATTTTTCTAAACGTAAAATTTTACCACCAGCTGCTTTTAAATAATCAATAATTATATTATCATCCGGTAATATTGCATCATGATTTTCTCGTGGAATACGTAGAAGTATTTTATTTGTATTAACATATGCTTCATATGGATATCGTCGAGTAATTGGTAGACAACGACGTACAAAAAGTTGATTATCATTCATAAAATATGGACGTCCAGCCAAAACTTTATCAACATTTGCTTTTTTTTCAAATACTAGGATTACAAATGGATTCGGCAATGATATAGGTGAATCTTTTGAAATACGACGTTTTAAATATAATTTAATAATAATACCGAATTGTTGAAAAATATCAGTAATTCGTTTAGCATTTACATCAATCGGTAAATTTGATACATGAACATGATTTTGAAACTGTTCGAAAGATTGATCGATATAGGCAGGCATCGATAATTGAATATGAGAAAAATTAATCTAGAATATAAAATCTCTGTTGAAAATTTCTACTCAAATAAAAAGATGAATAAGTCTTCAACTCTTTTTTTTTTTTACTTTAAAATATGTCAATTAGTTTGATAAATGTATCGATAGTTCATAAAAAAATAGTTCTTTAATATGACCTTCACTGTCATCAAAGATTTTTTTAAAATCTTCTAAATTAAAATCACGCAAAGTACACATATTTCTTTTGCCTTGAAATTCTTTTGTATTTGTGCCGAATATATATGAGCTGATATTTAATTTACGATTTTTTTTTTTATTATTAATTTAACAAAAGACAGACTTTTATTAAAGACAATCATTAAATGCAAGGATGCAAAAAAGTAAAAAAACTAGTTTAGTTTTTATGGAAATTTCTGTTTCATTATTGTCATAAATTAGAAGAAACCAACGATAAAGAAAATCCGAGTACAAGAATTTTTTTTGTTCTATTATTGTTCTACTTCTTGCCACCCGAGATGACATAAACTTTTTAAACAAACCTTCAACCCCTTGTCAATCTTTTTTTTTTTGATTCTATTACCTCGATATCAGATGTATATGCTGAAGAGTGCGCAATATTATAGTCACTATTATGGATTTGAGGTTTTTTTTTTTTGCATTTTTTTTCTCTGTCGTTTTATTAACAACAATAAGGCATGTCTATTTAGACTTGATGAGTGTATATGTATATTTATTGATATATGCTGTAGTTTTTAACCAATTGAAAACGCGGTTCTTTCGCTTTTACTCTTATCTTCTATCTCTTTTTTTTTCTAACTTTCCTCATATTTGAATAACCTTCAGCCTAAAAATATTATTCATCTAGTAACGTGGTATAAAAACGTTGAAGATTCTTTTGGATTCTATTATTTAGTGTATATCATTATTCTTTATAACTAAATAAATATAAACATGGCTACCAGTGGTGTTGAAGCGCTTAAAGGTACATGGGAATATGTATGTATCAAGTATATATTCTTTTCTTAATTCAATTCGTTAGTTTTCCTCAAAATAGGTTGATGGTGAAAATTTTGATGATTATATGAAAGAGCTTGGTGTTGGAATGGCAACACGCTTGGCAGCTAAAGGAATAAAACCGCGTCTTATTATCAGTGACAATGGTGGTAAATGGAATCTACGAGCGGAAAGTACACTAAAAACAACATCATACGATTTTACACCTGGTGTTGAATTCGATGAAACAACACCTGATGGACGAGAAGTTAAAGTACGATTATTTTTTATATATATTTCTAATATTATTAATATCTTGTTTTTCATTTTAAAGTCAACCATCAACTTTGAAGGTGATAAATGGGTTCATACATCAGTCGACAAAAATGGAAAACGGTCTGTGGTTCAACGTTATATCGATGATAAAGGTCAACAAATGATTGTAAGATATTTTTCATATTCTCTCTTTTTCTATTTTAATGAAATATGTTTTTATGATAGGATATGGAATGTGGTTCAGTTAAAGCTCGTCGTTGGTATAAACGTTCTTCATAAATGAAATAACAACATAGTTTTTTAACAAAAATACGAACTATCTTTTCAATGAAATTTAGTTTTATTGATATGAGCATTTGATTTTGTGTTCATAAAAAAAAAACATATGAAAACTTTTTTTTTCTGTCATCAAAATTATATTTATCTAGCGAATTAAACGACAAATAAAGTGCATACTTCTATAGATGAAATAAAGTCTATATGCAAAGAAATTAAATAACAACATTACTATATGATGAAAATGTATAGGAGAGAAGAGAACAATGAAAAAATATTTGTTAATGTAAAAACTTAATATTAGATGCAGAGTACACTTTGATAAGCACACCATCAAATCAAAAGAATTTCAATACTCTATGTGGCATGAAGAAAGATAAAAGTACGAAGTACGACAAGATATTTGAGTAAAAATAAAATGTGCACGAAATATTATGCTAATCATATTCAATGTATCGCACAATTCTTATCAGCTAATCCTTCTGAATATCTAAGAGATTGATATGTAAAAAGAATCAAAGTAATATTCATAATAGCAAATTGTCAATTTCAAAAAAAAAAGCAAAAATGTCCGCAAAAAAAAAACAAATAAAACAAAATTGAAATTTCAAAAATTTATTTGTCATAATAAATAATAATTATCTAACTAACAGATAAGTGAATAACGGAATTAAATCACAATTTTAATGCTCGAACATCATCACTACGAAAATCCGTTCTAAAAATATTCAAATAAAAATATTTAAAATTCAACCAAAAAATATAATCTAATATAATTACCTTAGATTAAGAATTTGTCGAACTTCAGATGGAGTTAAACGCCAAGTTATTTTACTCGACGATGGATCCCAGTAATCATTGATTTCTTTCAACTAAATAAACATTACATGACTTATATATTTATATTTTATTGTTTTTTTTTTTTCGTATATACTTTTTCAAGACTAAGTAACGTAGCAATTTGTGTTAAACGTTGAAATTTATCGCGAATAGGAAGACTAGTAGCATTTGTTAAATATGTCATCAATCCTCGAACTTCTTTATCAAATTGAAGGCCACCAAACTTTAAAATAAACAAGCAAATAAATAAATAGAAATGAAATTAAGAAAAATCTAATCTATACCCGATTAAATCCACATTTAAGTAGAACTTTTTCCCAAATTGTAACAATTTCATTAGTTGATGCAGTTATTAATCGATCATAATTTCCTGTACTTAGAACACTCTAAAATAATTCTATATTGAGAATATGTTAAAAATCTATCGAAGAAAAAAAACAACGTCAATAATTATTGAAATAGTTATTTAATAATTTTAAATATATTTTGACATAGAATATCTTGAAAATAATTGTATCAATGATTATATTCGAGATATCTCTATTGATATAATGAAAACTTGGAAGTCAAAATCGACATAGTTCAACATTTTTATGAAATGAATGTTTAAGAAGATCTACAGCCATTGTTATAGAAGACAAATTATTCGAACTGTTTCACAAACAATAATAACATGGTAAATTATAAAAGAAAATCTCTTAATGAACTGATAGAAAGTCTAGTTTATTCAACAAATCTATTAAGAAGACTAATAACATATTTCAAACTTTTTTTTAATCAATATTAACCAACAATAACAACAAAGAGAATCCTACTTTTTTGAAGAAGGGAAGGGAGGGAACAACGACTATCTATTTTTCAGCTAACAAAGACTGTAATGAAAGAAAATCAAAATGTTTATGTTCACGATTATGATATCCATCCAATTTAAATCAAGCCCAGCTATTTTCAATTAATTACTAAAACTAGAAAGTAAATCCTATTTTAATCGAAAAGAAAAATGTCGAAAAACAAGACGTTAATAGATAAAAAATGTCGAAAAATAAATATACTGAAATGAAAAAAAAAAAAAAAAAAAGATAAAATTGGCGACTTATTCAAACAATAAGGGTGTGGTAGTGTGGCTTGCGGGTATGAATGTAGATGTAGGTAAAGAGAAGACTCTAAAACCCACACCCACCATATTTCGAAAATTTTACTTTTATTCGAGACTTTAACATCTCGACATTAGTAGAAGTATGATGAAAGAAAATATTTTAAAATTGATCACAATAGATCTACATTAAAGAGTGTTCGATTTCTTATGGGGTACACACCAGCAAGAAAATAAGTTTTTGTTTCGCGAAAAGGTTTTTATCTCTGTTCACCTTCCCTCTAAGTTTTTTTGACCCAGGGTGATGCACCGATACTTTTTGTACTCTCTGCTTACATCCCTAAAAAGTAGGAAGCATGCTCATAAATCTTTTGGGTGCAAATAGCTTTAAAGTTTGAGAAATGCTAGAACAGTCATCTAAAAACTAATTATATATTATTTGAATTCGAACATAAAACCCGAATTCAACTGATTTATTACTGAACATTAAATCCGAATTGAAGATCACAGGGTAAAAAGTACCTTCGAAATACTAAAGTCGTTTTTTTTTCTCTTCCTTTGTCAATATTATCTTTTTAAATATATAACGGTATCGAAAAAAAACAATTCTCATTTTTATAGAATTGAATACATTTAAAGACAAAAAAAAAAAGAATATCAGATCCGATGATCTGTTTTCTTTTGTAATAGTGTGGAAAAAATATTCTCACGAAATGGAACAAACAGGATTTACAGGACTCTAAATTAAGAACATGTTTTTATATGAATAATTACTTTAAATGGAACAAATAATGCATCGACTTGTACAATAAAATTTTGTAAAAATGGATCATTAGCTTCAAATTGAGAAAATTCATCCTATAAAATAAAAAAGAATCAACAATTAATGGTTTTGTTTTGTTTTGTTTTTTTACTTCAGATAGTTTATGATTAATAGTAACATAAACATCCATCAATGTTTTAATTCGAGGTTTAATTGCACTTGTACATAATTGTTGACAAGCAAATTCAATTAAATCTTTAAAACGATTAGCAGCAGAATGAAATTCATTTAAACAAGTCTAACAAAAAAATAAAAAATAAAAAATAATCAAATTTATTGATTTTTTTTATTTCTTACATCGAATTTTGTTTTATTATGTTCATTTAATGTTAAAGTTTTTTTTAATTCATCTTCAAGTAAATTTTTTAATGTATGTAAATTTCCATATGTTATTTCAACATTATTAAATGTTATTAAAAAAATTTGTTTTAATTTTTCAATATCACTTCCTTGTAATTTACCTAATTGAATACTTGATTGTATAACTGTATATGCTTGTGATAAATCAAATCCTGATGGATAACCAGATTTTAATCGTAAATATAATTGTTCACGATAAATTGTATCAATTATACTAACAGCATGATTTAACATAGCACATATACCTTCAATATTTGAACTTGATATTGATCGTCTAAATAAAATTCATAGAAAAAAATTTTGTTTATATTAAAAAAAAAAAGATCATTCTTTTTCAACTTTATACTTAAGACATTTTCGAAGAATAAAAAAAACATCATCAACCATATTAGGTGAATCAATTAAAATAGCTTTATAAATACTTTCACGCATAAAATAATTTTCAATTGTAATATATTGATTTATAAATTCATGTAAAGTACGACTTAAACCTGAATGATTTATAAATCTTTCAATTTCTTTTAATTGTTTTAAACAAACATCTGTTTTCATATCATTAATTAATGGATAAGCAGTTTCACAATCACTATTTAAACGTCGACGAATAAAACGTAAATATAATTCACAACTTGCATTAATTAATGTTATTTCAGCTAAAAAATCATCTAATTCACGTGGATCAAGTTTATCTGATGATGATAATAAATCTGTTTGTATTAAATTAGTTGATGTTGTTGAAAGAGATTTTTGTGTTAATAATGAAGATTGTTGAATACGACGAAATATTGTATCAAATTGACGTTGAGATTTAAAAGAATTTATAGCACGTTGAACTTGTGTATCACAGGCTGTTTGAAGCATTGAAACAAAATTAAATAATTTTCCAGGACCTAACAAAATATATTAGATTCTAATTTAGAAATATTAAAATTATTTCAATAAAAATTTTACCATAATATGTTTCAACCAATGGTTGATAAGTTTCTACAATATCTGCAACATATTCAAATAAACTTGTTAAATAATCTGAATATATAACTGGATAACGTTTATGATTAAATGGTATTTCTAATGTTTTCTTTAATGTTTTCTCTCCATGATTATTTATTTGTAAACAAAGATGTTTACAAAATTTTTCTAAACCAATTTGATGTAAATTTAATAATGGAAATATTTTAAAAAAACGCATTGCTTCTGGTAAATGTCCTATTTCAACTGCTTGATCAAATTTAACATTTACAATTGATTTTAATTTTTTTTCTGCTTCATCAAGAGAAAGTAATGCTTGATGAAGACTACTTCCTATAAACATAGGGAAAAAAAAAGTAAAACAAAATTAAAAACAATATAAAATCAATATTTCAACCTTCAGCTGGATCGCTACTTAATTGAAGTGAAGCTGCATCAATATTTAAATATCGATGAATATGAGCAGCTGCCTAAAAGATAGAAAAACTTTATTTTAAAGAAAAAATTCAATTGAATATTTGTTTTTTACTTCTTCATATTCTTCATCTTCTAAAGCTTTTTTAACTCCATCGGTACATTTCTTTAAATCAATAATATCTTTTGCTCGTTGTAAACAAGCAACAACACGACTCTAAATTATTCGAATGAATTAAAAATTAAACAAATATTGATCAACAAACTTTTGTCACATCTAATTCTCGAACTTTTGCACTAATATTATCAGCTAATGCTGCAGTAAATGATATTGTATTTGATAAATTATGTGCATCTTGTGTTATTATTTGTAATGCTGGTCTAAAAAAATATTTTTAATTAAAATAGTTGATTTTTTTTTGTCTTCTAATTTTATTTTCAAATACAAACACTAAATTTTTAATTGAAATCATTTGTCTTTCAAATGAATCTTGATTTGAAAGTAAAATTGACAATTCATCGTTAAGTATTTTCTTTAATAATTAGTAAAACAAAAAAAAAGACATTGAATATTTTCACAAAATAAATCAACTTACTTCACGTGTATTAAGTGTTTCTAATTCATTTTCTAATAAATCTATATTTGGCAACATTTTATTTTATTTTTTTAGAAACCAAAAAAAGAAGTAAGATCGACCGATCGATCGAATAAATAATTTATTTTATTCATTGGATCGACTTTATCCAATCAAATACAAAGATCTATAGTCATTCATAATTGGCTTTATAAATAGACGTACGAGAGAAAAGCAACGAAAACAAGCATTTTGGATTGAGAGAATAAGCTACATACACTACTTTGAGGTACATATACTTTTTTCCACTGGATTAAAATGATACTGAGCGTCTGCGATAGAAAAGAGGGCGTTGAATACAAGCATACGTAAGTTTAAGAGCAATCTTTTCCTGGATTTCTCAAGAATGGCTCAACTAAAAATCATGAAACTTTCAGAGTGGATAGATCTCGAGTAGTAGAGTAAAAGTTGTCATAGACTCAGGATTTCCAGATACATCGTTCTATGAGATATAGGAAGCGTAAGGGCTAAAAGTGACCTGAAGTTCTCTTCCCCTGCAAACATCGAAAATTCATTGTTTATGGCTGAGTCTTTTTTGTAGCAACTAGGATCAAACTGGGGTGTATGCTTTTTTTTCGTTGAAAAATATTGTTTCCTTCATTTAGTAGAACTAAAGTACTAGAAGTTCTGTCAAAAATGTGTTTTTTTCCCTCGGACAAATTTTGTAAGATCTACCGAAAACCATCAGAACACTATTTTAAGAAAAAAAAATATACATCCTAATTTGATCCTGGTTGTTATGCAAAAAAATTTCAGTTCAATCGGTCAAAGCGTCTAGGAGAAAAAGGGGGAAAACTTCAATGTTTCTCTGAAAAACATTGATTTTGAGAAAAACGTCATTTTTTCGATCTTTCGTATGTTTCATTTTTTTATGCATCGCTGATCCACATAACACATTTTGATGATGAAATAAATATATTAGTATAGATCATTTATAATACGAAAGAGCTGTAGAACGTGACTTTTGTACATAGGGGATCTCTAAAGATGGTTTTTTTAAGGATCTGAATAACAATGAAAACTTTTCGTTCATATACTATCTGATAGAAGACGCTTGAATGTCTTTTCAAATACGAAAATAGTGAATATTTTGGGTAGGAAAAGGGGTCGGTGCCCTTAAAGAAAACAAAATAAATGTAAGAGAAAAAGTTTTCGACATTCTTTTGGCATATATCTATTCCATTTTATGTGGAACATTTTCATGAAAATATGTCATCAATTAAATAGTGTTAGACAATAACTTTGGTATAGTTGAATAAGAAATAAATCTTGTCATTTATGATCTATCATCAAAATTATAAACATTCAAAACAAAGACTAACTCATAATTCAGTACGAGTTTTCTAATAAGCATCTATATTTAAAATCAAATCGTTATTAAGGAATATCGTCTTTTTTATTTTTGTTGATTACTTAAGATCTATCATGTCGCATTGATTTCAGTTTGTGTAAATTGTTCACAATCGTATTTTTTCAAGTACAAAAAAGAAATTTATAATAATTACAACTTTTAGCAATGTGGTTTCATGCGAGTATATACTCAAATTTTCATCAAATACGCATATGATCGGCAATCCACATGTAATGAGACTAAAAATAAATTTTAAATGATATTATTGGCAGAAAGATAAAGAGAAAATTGATATCGTATATCAAAAAATTATATTTGAATTTGATGAGAATAGTTTTCAAGAGAAAATCATATTAGTACAGTACAAACACTTTCTACTGATCTCATTGAAGTTTCTGAAATGTAGATTTTAGTGATTTGGATCATATAATTTAAGTCAAGTTATGGTGGATATTTATTTGATAGAAAAACATTAAATAAATTTTCGATTTATTGGTGTTGAAAGACATCATGTAGCCATGAACATGAAGATCTTCGAATCTTACTGATAAATATTTACATCTTTGCATTGTGTTTTCTCATAAACATTTTTATGATCAACAATTTTCCTATCTGAAGAATTTTGAAAAATTTCAAGAAATTGAACTAGTCGGTCGTATCGAAATTGTAGCACATCCCACATACAGTCAGCTGCCTCAACGACTCGGCAGTAATATCAATCTTAACAATTTATCAAAAGAGAATCAATCGCGTTTAACTAATGTACCTCTGAAAATCAATGCGTTTATCGATTGTATTTCAGAATCTTGAGAAGAAAGCTTTGAAAAAACCTGTCTCTTCATTGCTGACGTAAATGGTTGTATTGTCTTTACGATTTTTCAATCATGATGTAATGACTAACGTCAAAGCTTTTTAAAAATACCAACCATCGTTTTTTGAATAACTTTTGACTAGTTCAAGCTATCGAACTGCACTTTTCACCATTGACTAGCACAATTTTAGGATCATCTATCCACAAAAAAATTGATTGAAGTTGTAATCTTTCTTTCTAGTTATTTGGTGATCGATACCTTGTCTGATATCTCGTACCCAAGATTCTCATGATCACGTTGACTGAAATTATAACAATTTTTAGCCCGTCAATTGTTCTTTCTAGGGTAAAATTTTGAAAGTATTGTGTCATACATGGAATAAATGCCAATCACTCAACAGATATGCATGTTTTTATTTATTCGAAATATAATGATATGTTTTTTTTCGATTAGAAGTTTTTCGAAACATGGCTCTTGATGTATTTGCCATGTTTTTAAAGCATCTCTTTTCTCTCGAGATTTCCTTTAAGAAATCTCGTCGAACAAATAACTTAACCTTACTCTGTTTGATTAGTTTTGTTATATTGTTGTTAGAATTTTTAATGTAAATATAGTTTAAAAAAAAAGAAAATCTTACGGACTCTTTGAAAAGCTCTACAAGCCATTGTCATCTATAGAAGCCATCTATATGTAATCATGTTTTTTTCTTTCTATTGTTTTCGTTGGTCGTCTTTTTAACCAATATATTATCTTTCGTATTGTCTCTCTTACGTATGAAAAGTGAATACCAAATTTCATAATACATTCATAACTAGAGACATTGTCAAAAAAAAAATGCTTCAAACAACAATTCGACAATTTGCATCAAAACCAACATCCTTACGAAATATTGCTCTTGTTCTTAGTGGTTGTGGAGTTTATGATGGAAGTGAAATTCATGAAGTATCAGCATGTCTTGTTCATTTAAGTCGTCATTCAGCATCGGTACATATATTTGCTCCAGATGCACCACAAAAACATGTTATTAATCATTTAACTGGTGAAACAATGTCTGAAACTCGTAATGTTCTTATTGAAAGTGCTCGAATAGCTCGTGGTGGACAAAATATTTCATCACTTGATAAACTTCAAGCAAATCAATTTCAAGCTATTGTTTTACCTGGTGGATTTGGTGCAGCAAAAAATTTATCAACATTTGCTTTTAATGGAGATCAAATGAGTGTTGATAGTCGTTTAACACATATTTTAAAAGATTTTCTTCATAGTCGAAAACCAATTGGTATGTGTTGTATTTCACCGGTTATTGCAGCAAAATTAATACCAGGTGTTAAAATAACTTTGGGAAAAATGAAAAATTTAAATGAAAATGAAGCAAAAAATGTATTTCCTTATTCAGGTGCAGTATTGAGTGCAAGACAGATGGGTGCAGAAACACAAGAATGTGATATAAACGAAATATGTGTTGATGAACAGCATCGAATTGTTACAACACCTGCATTTATGAAAAATGCTTCTTTTCATGAAGTATTTGATGGTGTTGGACTTATGATAGAAAAAGTTATTCAAATGATAGGAACCAAGTAATATAAATAAGTGAACATTTTTTTAAATCTCTTGAAGAAAAAAAAAGATACAATCCTTTAGATAGTTATTGATTGACTGTATCGTTTTTTTTTTTGGCAAATTCTAGATAATCTTATTGATTTATTTTAAATTATCATTTATAAACAAAATATTCTTATCAATGAGTTCATCAACAACAAGTGGAATTAATTCTTCAATATCATCTCGAAATACATCTCGATTAAGTGCAACTTCATCTGAACAATTATCTATAGCTTTTATAAAACGAGTTCTTACACCAAAAGCAACTTGGACTCATAAGGTAAAGAAAAAAACAAAATATTTATTTCTTGATTGAATATTTTATATTTATATCTATATATTTTTTTTTTCTAAAGGAAGAATTTCTTGATGCTGTTTATTGGCTTCGACAAGTGTTAAGCATTATTCTTGGTATTACTCTTGGTTTATTATCTGTTAAAGGTTTTATGGGTATTCTAATGTCAGTATTATTGATTTTGTATTTAACACAAAAAAAAAATTAAATAATAAAATCAATCATTTTAGATTTGGTATTATTAGTTCATTAATTATTTTTATCTATGCAACCAGTGTGCAAAATGTTGATCCAGAAGAATATGGTGGAATTGTTGAAATAATCAAAGAAGGTTTTATGACTGCATTTGCAACATTTCTTGTAAGAAAAATTTTTTTTTTTTTCTTTTATTTTTAAAATCATTTTTCTTTTTGTTTTAAGGTTTCTTGGATTGTACTCTATTCTGCATTTTACACTTCAAAATCAACTATACCTACAATATAATCTTAAATGTTTTCATTTTTTTTTTCTTAAACTTTGTTGTTCGTACTTTGAAAATAGAAAGAAAAAACGAAAATTTTTCTCCTTTTTCAGATAAATAAAAAAAAAAAACAAAAGAATGGCAACAAAAAAGCGAACTAAAGCTTTTATGGGTATGCCTGCACCATTGGGTTATGTGCCAGGTCTTGGTCGTGGTGCAACCGGTTTTACAACTCGATCAGATATTGGTCCAGCACGAGAAACAGGTGATATTAGTGATGAACGACATGCACCACCAACTAAACGTCGAGAAGACGATAATGATGATGATGATACAGATTTAAATGATTCTAATTTTGATGAAGAATTTGGTTATGGTGGAAGTTTATTTAAAGTAATATTGAAATTAAATTTAAAGAAAAAAAAAACAATTTTTGAAATAAATTCTTTTTTTTTGTTTTTGTTTTCTTCTAGAATGATCCATATGAAAAAGATGATGAAGAAGCTGATCAAATTTATGAATCAATAGATAAACGTATGGATGAAAAACGTAAAGAACGAAGGTAAGTAATTAACAAAAAAAAAAAAACAAAGTTATTTATTAGAATACCTAATAACAAAAAAATACAACCGTTCTTTTTTAAATAGAGAACGACGATTTCAAGAAGAAGTTGAAAAATATCGTCAAGAACGACCAAAAATTCAACAACAATTTAGTGATCTCAAACGTAAATTAGCTGATGTTACACCTGAAGAATGGATGAATATGCCAGAAGTTGGTGATGCAAGAAATAAACGTCAACGAAATCCAAGACAAGAAAAGTAATAAAAAACGAAACAAAGACAAAATTTTATTTTTATTTTTATTTTACTAGATTTACACCTGTACCTGATGCACTTATTGCAAAAGCTGTTTCAGCTACTGAACAAACAAATATTGTTGATATACGTGAACAAAAATATGGTGGTTTTCTAACACCAGCTACTGGTATGTCAACACCATCAACTGAAATTGATATGCCTAAAATTGGTCAAGCACGAAATACACTTATGAACGTGAGATTATCACAAGTAAGAAAGAAAAATAAAAAATAAAACAACAAAATATAATTCATTTTTTTTTTTTCATATATAGGTTTCCGATAGTGTTAGTGGTCAAACTGTTGTTGATCCAAAAGGTTATTTAACTGATATGCAATCAATGTTACCATCATATGGTGGTGATATAAATGATGTTAAAAAAGCTCGTTTATTATTAAAAAGTGTTCGAGAAACAAATCCATCACATCCACCAGCATGGATTGCATCAGCACGTTTAGAAGAAGTTGTTGGTAAAGTTCAAGCTGCAAGAAATTTAATTATGCGTGGTACAGAACATTGTCCTAAAAGTGAAGATGTTTGGTTAGAAGCAGCACGTTTAATGCCATTAGATTTAGCACGTGGAATTGTTACACATGCTGTTAGACATTTACCACAATCAGTTAAAATTTGGGTTAAAGCTGCTGATTTAGAACAAGAACCAAAAGCTAAAAAACAAGTTTTAAGACGTGCACTTGAACATGTACCAAATTCTGTTCGATTATGGAAAGCAGCCGTTGAATTAGAAGATGAAGATGATGCTAGAGTTATGCTTAGTAGAGCTGTCGAATGTTGTCCAACATCAGTTGATGTAAGTTAATTTTATATTTATTTTCTTGATTCATCATTATGTGATTACTTAAAATTGAGTTTTTACATACGATGATAGATATTCTATTCTCATATTTTGATAGCGAAACAAATTATAAAGAATTCATCTTAGTTGTATATTACTCATTTGATATTACACAGAAGTGAAAGAAGAAAGAATATTGCTGCCTAGCGGCAGATTCATTAATCTGACATCCTTCCAACAAATAATACTAGCTGTAGCTCTAGATGGAAGGTCGGTCTAATGCAGAGTTCTTGCACTCAACTGCTTGAACTCACAATACACACTAACTAATCACAAGAGTAGGCGTATGTGTCACAATGTTTTCAGCATGCTATTGGACAGATGATCCGAGTCAACAAATAGTCGTTAGTGACTTATCCAGGATCATGTCATGACTGATAGTAATGAACAGATATATATTATTGATCTTTCGAATTATAAAGATTTCTTTACAATAATAATTCAAGAGTCTTAATAAATGTTGAATAGAGACATCATTTACAGTTGTGATCGAGGTTATACAGGATTTCAGTACTAATAACTTTAGCATTGGTTTATTATATTGTCACTATGATGAAAGAGTATGAGTACGGATTTTGTCTTCATCGCTACATCCACACTTTTTCAGAAAGGCGAATCATTTGAATTTGAAATACATCATCCTGAAAACCTTGATTTGAATGTTTCTGTTTAATTTTCACATAAGAAATAATCAAACTTGTCTTTAAATATAAAAACATTAATCTTTTTTTTTTATAAAATTATATTTTATCATCAATTATTGAATAATTATAACAGTTCTATCTAGAATAATTCAGAAGATATACAATCTATGATTAAGTAATAAATAAAATTTCGCAATTATCTTTGATAAAATTTAATTATTTTCTAATATTTTTCAATATAATTTATTTTATTAATTTTCTTTTTTAAGTTATGGTTAGCATTAGCACGTCTTGAAACATATGAAAATGCTCGACGTGTACTTAATAAAGCTCGTGAACATATTCCAACTGATCGACAAATTTGGATTATGGCTGCCAAACTTGAAGAAGCCAATGGAAATGATGCTATGGTCGATCGTCTTATTGAACGAGGTTAGTTTTTCATTTTCAAATTTTCATTTCGATAATATTCTTTCTTTATTAGCTTTGGCTTCATTAACTGCAAATATGGTTGAAATTAATCGTGAACATTGGCTTAAAGATGCTATTGATTGTGAAAAAGCTGGTTCTGTTCATACATGTCAAGCATTAATTCGTAATATAATTGGTATTGGTATTGATGCTGAAGATCAATTAGAAACATGGATTGAAGATGCACAATCATGTCAAAATGAAAATACATATGAATGTGCACGTGCTATATATACACATGCACGTAAACTTCATCCAACAAAAAAACAATTATGGTTAGAAGCAGCTGATTTTGAACGAAAACATGGTACACGTGAACAACTTGAAGAACTTTTATCAACAGCTGTTGTTAGTTGTCCTAAAGCTGAAGTTTTATGGTTAATGTTAGCTAAAAGTAAATGGTTAGCTGGTAATGTACCATTAGCTCGAGAAACATTATCAGCAGGATTTCAAGTAAGAAAAAAAAAACAAAAAGAAATTAATTTTTTGTAAATATTTCTTTATTTAGGCAAATCCAAATTCTGAAGAAATTTGGCTTGCAGCTGTTAAACTTGAATCAGAAAATAATGAATATACAAAAGCACTTAGTCTTTTGAAAAAAGCTCGACTGTAAGAATTGTTTTTAAAATATTTATTTTAAAAAATATAATTCTCCGTTTTTTTTGTTTTAGTCATGCACCTACAGCTCGTGTGTATATGAAATCTGTTCGTTTACATTGGTGTTTAAATGATATTCCAGCAGCAAAAGAATTATTAGAAGAAGCATTAAAAACTTATGGAAATTTTCCAAAATTATGGATGATGAAAGGACAAATATCAGCTCAACAAGGTTCAAATGGTTTTGATGCTGCTCGTGAAGCTTATTTAGAAGGAATTAAACGATGTCCAACAAGTATACCATTATGGTTACTTTTAATTCAATTAGAAATTGATAATGGACAATTAATTAAAGCTCGAGCAAATTTAGAAAAAGCTCGTTTACGTAATCCAATGACACCTGAACTTTGGTTAACTAGTGTTCGATTAGAAGTGAATGCTGGAAATATACAACAAGCTAAAGTTATGCTTGCACGAGGTTAGTTTATATCATTTTTAATGAAATAATAGAAAAAAAAAAGAGAATATTTTATACTTTTTTTTTTTTTGTTTTTTTATTTCATAGGTATGCAAGAATGTCCATCAGCTGGTATACTTTGGGCTGAAGCAATATTTATGGAACCACGTCCACAACGTAAATCAAAAAGTGTTGATGCTTTAAAAAAATGTGAACATGATCCACATGTATTAATGGCTGTATCAAAATTATTTTGGTCTGAACGTCGTATTGATAAAGCACGTGAATGGTTTAATCGTACAATTAAAATTGAAACAGATAATGGAGATTGTTGGGCAGCTTTTTATAAATTTGAATTAATACATGGAACAGAACAACAACAAATTGATATTAAACAAAAATGTATTAATTTTGAACCAAGACATGGAGAATTATGGTGTCGAATTGCAAAAGATGTTAAAAATTGGAAATTAAAAACAGGAGAGATTCTTGAATTATGTGCAACACAAATGCCTTTACCTAATTAACATTTACTTTTCTTTTTTTTTTTTTTTTGATGTTTGTGCTTTGTGTATATGTGAAAATAAATAAGAACATAAAAACAAAAATTTATATTGAATAATAATTAAAAAGATTTTATTTATAAATAAATATCTAATCAAGTATGTAATCGATTCGGATGATGTAGATTTAAAGACGATTATAAAAATATATTTAAGTTTGTAGAGGAAGATCTTCTCTATTCAAGGATTATTTTTCTGAATAAGTTCTATTGGCATAGACATATATAAAAGTACTGGCTCTTTCCGTTATTTATTAATTAAAAAGTAATTAGCGAATAATTCTCTAACCATACGGAGAAAAAAATCCAGAAACTTCAGGATAGTCTCTATGATAAAATTTTCAGCAAGATCAAATTCCCCAAAAAACTTACCCTTGAAAACTAGTTTTCTAGAAATTCTGAAGAAGGATTTGTAATCGTTTGGAATTTGGTTTTTGAACTTTTTGTTTGTATATTTGTACTTTGTTACGTTTCTAACAAAGAGTGAATCAATTTTTGGGAAAACTTAGGCATGCTCAGAAAAACTTTTCCATAGAGATTTTGTCGCCTCAAGAGGATGAAAATCGATGTTCTTTTTTT